AAAAGAATACACAGGAAATATGTTTGGAACTGAATGGAATTGACAACGTGATGTTGGGTAGGAAATGCAGAAAGTGCAAACACAGTCCTATGATAAGGGATATGTGGGCGGTTGTAGGAGGGGACAAATAGATTATTGATTTAGGTACAACCAGACAAGTGAATATCCATCTCTGATCTGGGCCTCAAAAGCCCCCAGCTGGTGTTCATTTGATTACATTTAAGTCACCAAGCTGCTCATCAGAGACCCCCATGCAGAAAGTGACTCTCAGTCCCTAGATGGGGATGGCTCAGAGGCCATGGAGCAGTCCCTTGTGCTTCACCTGGAGGGAGCAGGTGGGAGTGGCTCAGACACCAGACACGCAGCCCAGCCAAGGATGCTCAAACATGGAAAATGGGGCTTACTTATATACTCCTGGACTCCACTCTACCTTCTGTGCCCATTAACAAAAAAAGTGGCTGTCAGACCTGCAGAGGACAGAAAGGTCAAAGCGTAAGTACACATCAGAGTTCCCTGAGGACACGTGAAACGCTGATTCCTGGGCCCCTAAGCCAGCGATTTCTGACGCAGCTGGCCTGAGGTGAGGCCCAAGAGATTGCACTTCTAACAGTTTCCCAAGAGATGCTGCTGATGGTCCCTGGGCCACGTTCTGAGACCACTGCTGTGAAGAAATGTCCACTCCTGCCCACTTCTAGTAGCCTCCAGGCCCCAGCACCCCACAAAGAGGCGACGTGCAGTTCTCCCCAGAGAAAAGCCCTGGGACTTCCACTGAACGTCCCCGAACAGAGGAAGTGCTCACCATTCGTTATTGGCATGAATCGACGGTTGGTAAAGGGACGTGGTAATGTGAATCTTGCCACCTCTCCCAAGGCAGTCCCAAATCCCAAACCACAGGCCTCCTGGGAAAACAGGCAGGGATGGCTTCTTGGACATTAGCATTACTCAGATTCAATCCTCCTTTCAGAGGACTTCCCCATTCATTCAGTTCGACACAGCTCAGTGTAATTAATGTAGCGATTTGATTCCCTGCTGAGATGACCCACCACAAACCGCTGGACCAATGAGGCTCAGATTTTAGTGTGAACATTCCTCGGACTCAGTCCTGCAGGCCCCGATTCAATGAAGGGGAAAGGAGAGAGGGCTCCAGGGAACCTGGGCTTTCACCAATAATGCCCAGATGACTTGAAGCAAATGGCCTGCCCATTCCTTTGGCGACACTGCAGTAGGAGCATAAGGACTCAGTAACTTTAACTTCCCTCTCATTTCCTTCTCTTATAGATGCATCTTCCAAGAGAAAGCCGTCAAAAGCATCTCCATCACGAGGCTGGCAGAGCTCAGCACAGCTTCACTTCCCACCTCCAGAACCGAAGCTGGGGAGCACCTGTAAGAGAAAACTATTCTTACCCAATTCAATAGAACAAATCTAAATTAGTAGCTGTGAATTGGTTAGACATTGCATTCACCAGACAGACTCTCCATGGCAGTAGGTTAAACAGATTTGTTATTTAGTCTATTGTGTAAAAAAAAAAAAAAAAAAAAAAGTTAGGGAGTCGTTGATCAAGGCTGGCCCAGGGGTTCCTATAAATTCATCAGAGATAAAGGCACCTCCCATGTTTTGGCTCAGGGTAACAAAATGGCTGCTGGAATCCGGCCATCATGTCTGTGTTTCAGGCAGGAAAAAGGGGGGTGTGGAGCAAGGAAAGAGGGATCCCTGCTCCAAGCTGAGTCATTCCCCTATTAAAAGATTTCCTGGAAGCTCCAACCAGTCATTTCCCCCTCATATCTCACTGGCTGCCCCCAGATGCAAGGGGAGCGGGTACGTAGCCCGTAAGCCCAGCACACGGCCATCCCAAAAACATCAAGGTCCGGTAGCGAGGGAAGAGGGCAGAATGCAAGTTGAATAAGGTGACTGGAAATCTCTGCCACAATCTGTTACATACGGGGTGGGGTGAGGAGGGAGGAGACGTAGCTGTGTAACCTTTAGTCCATTAGGGAGGATATGCAGAGCACACAAACAAGTGTAACTCGGAGGAACCCTGCCAAGTGCGCGGAGAGAACCGCGGAACAGGTGCGGCAAGGCGTGCGGAGGGGTCGCTGGGCTGCTGCCTGATGCACAGGTAGATTGTAACCTGCAGAGACGAGTGGTGAAGGAAGTCACTCGGGGAAGATGACATGTATCGGGAAAACAACTGGGCTCCATCAGAAGAATTGGAACAAAAAAGGCTTTGGGAGCTCGAAAGATGTTTAGCAAGCACTGCGTGGAGAGCTTCTTAACCTGGATCCAGACACAGCCCCATGGCACGGGCTGCAGGGGGCTCTGAGCTGCCTGGGGTTCTAGGCACCACGTTTGATGAATGGGCACATTGTGCTTTTCTAATGGAAGAGGCTGGGGGTAGATCCTATTGTTCTTTCCAATATAGTTCACAAGAGAGCCCACCCCTCCTCCCCTTTAATCCTTTACACACAACCTAGCTACAAACACTAATTTTTCACTCCCTGACTCCCCATCCTCCACAACCTTGGAACTCTTAATAGAGTTCCAAGAACTCTACCCTGACTTGACTCACACTGTTCCTCCTTCTTGTAACGACTCCCCGCTGCTCCTCCTCTTCCCCCTAGATATGGCGAGATAGGGGTTGGCTTCTCCTGCACTGGGAGTATTTGATCCTAGGCTCCACAGACACCGAGGAAGGAAATTGGCAAAGAGATTTGAGCTGCAAGCAGCAGAAGGAAAGCACCAGATACCATCCCAACCTGAGATTCTAGGATATCCTTCAGCATACATATCCTTTGGTTTTAATATTCCTCCAGGGAGTCCTCCTTCCCCATCCCCATCCATCACGGTCTCTTCATCTCCTTTTAATACATGGAGAATACAACTCGACATTAGCCCAGGTATTGACTGAAATTGTTGACATGACAAGTCAAGAACAATTTAAAAAGTTCAACTCTTCAATGTTCATATGAGAATCTCTCCAAAGGGGGAAGTAAGTGTTTTGGGATGATCTTTCCATGCATTTTTGCCATTTAAAAGTATATATTTTTTATTGATTTCAGAGAGGAAAGGAGAGATACAAACATCGATGATGAGAATCATTGATTGGCTGCCTCTTGCGTGTCCCTAATGGGATCAAGCCTGAAACCCAGGTATGTGTACTGACATGACACCTCCTGGTTCATAGGTTGATACTTAACCACTGCACCACACCAGCCGGCTGCATTTTTGCCATTTTTCTGTTGCTTTTCATAGTCATTATCTATTACTTTGGGATTTTCACATACTTGCTCACGACTTGATGGTGAAAAACTAGTTTCAGTCTCATGCATGGATTTAAAATTATATATTTTTAAAGCCTTTTTTTTCTTATTACAGTACTAATTTTCTTATTACAATAGTAACAAATGTATACTCATTTTTAACATAAGAAAATGACAAATAATTTTAAAAATCTAAAAATCTCACCCATCCAAAAGTAGTCACCAATAACACTTTTTAAAATAAGAATGGATTGATTACATTTTATAATACTTAAAACATTCATCTTCATCAGCGTTTTTGCTGATTGCATGACATTCTATTTTTATGGATGGAGCATAATTTGTTTAACCAGTATTCTTTTCTGGGATATTTTGGTGGTTTTGGTTTGGGCCTTGTTGGTTTTGACTAAATTATGAGCCCTGTTTTGATTAATAGTAACTTAAGTAGACACCCTTTACTCATTACCCAGTTAGCCCATCTACCACAGTGGTTCTCAAGTTCAGCATGGGCCAGAATGGCCAGGAGGGCTTGTGCAGCTATAAGACCCACCCCCAGAGTTTAGGGTCTGTAGGTCTGCATGGGGCCTGAGACTCTGTAGTTCTAACAACGTTCTCTGGTGGTCCCGACGCTGCTGATGTGGGAACATACTTTGTGAACCACCATCCTATATTCTTATTCTTCTTCTTCCAAGAACCTAATGTCGCCCCTGTCCTTCGCTTCCTTTACTAGGACCTGTTGCCCTTGGCCTTGTACTCTGTGGAGGAGGAATTTCTTTTGTGGTCTCGTATTCTTTCCCCATTCATAACTATAAGCCCCTTCCATCCACCCCCTTTGCAAGTGCCTCTGGGCCTTGTGTAATTTCCTAACACACACACAGACACACCGGCACCCTGATTTTCAGAGTTGGATGTCTTTTTCCTGCATCGCTATTCCTAGAAACCTCAGCTAGTCACCAAGAGAGGGCAGACAAAAAGGTATTTCCCCCAGGCATTCTGTGTTCCTTATTCCCACTGTGTCCGCTGTCTGCCTCACAAAGTTGTTTTGATGGATAATATCTATCTCAGATCGACAGAGTTGAATATCGTAGCCGGAAAGAGCTCTCCGCCCAGAAGTGAGGAGGCATTGCAATTAAACTTAACATTGTTGTGTATTTGTAAGGAAGTGGTTTAAAGCTTGGGTTCTGGAGTTAAAACTGGATTCTACCTGGGCTCTGGTACTTGCTAGTTCTGTGAGCTTAGGCAAATCACATCTCTGAGTCTGACCTGGACAATGGAGGCGATAACACTTCTGTTGCAAAGAGGTGGCAAGAAATAGAAACAATATGTAAAAAGTTTTAAAAAAAAATGTAAAAAGTTGCCGGGATAGAAACAGCCCACAAGAAGTGGCAGCTGTTGTATTTAATTTTAAAAAAATAAAATTGTTTTGATTTCTTTTTTCCCCTGGCCTTTTCTCTGCTGAGTACCCAGAAGGGATCTTTTCTGGGCCAGAGGTTCCTATCGCTTCCAAAGATTCTGGTCACCTGCCGGCGAGCCCCAGGGATTTCGCCGAGGCCCTGCTCTTCGGGTATTTACGGCGCGCGGCCGCGCCGCTCGGGCTCAAGTCAGCGCTTCCAGGTTCAGTTTCAGGGTCTCGCCCGCAGCCCGGGCCGGCAGGCGCGCAGCCGGCGGAGCGGGGCCCGGGCGGCGGGGGCCTCTGGGGGCCCCGGCATTGGGAGGCGGCGTCCGGGAGCCCCCGGAGGAGGATGGGCTGCGGACACAGCAGGCTGAGCTGCTGCAAACCCCCCAAAAAGGTAAGGCGGAGAAGTTTGCCTTCGGGAGGGAGGGGAAGGGAAGTGTGGACCGGCTCCGGGGCAGGGGACCCTCCGCACCACGGGCTCCCCCAGCCCTAACCCCCGGCCAGCGCGGGGGTGCCCGGCGGAGATCGGCGAGAGGCCGGCTCGGAGGGAGCGGGGAAGGGCGGCCGGCCGGCGGCGCTCTGTCTCCCCGCCCGGGGCTGAGCCGCGCGGGGCAGCGGAGTTTGCAGACGCGGCCGCGGGGCCTGGGAAGGGCAGATCGTTCCTCCGCCCGAGAGAGGACATCTCCAGCGCCCGTGGCAGGTGCCCTTTTCCTTCGGCCTGGGGCCGGTCCGCTGTGTGGCCACGGACAAGTGGCTTGACCTCTCTGGCCCTCCGGCGTTCCCACGGGTCCGCTGCAGATCATCTCTGGGGCCGCTGCTCTCAGAATGGTCCATGGCCTCACGGCATCCGCATCACGTGGGACCTGTTAGAAATGCAGACTCTCAGGCTCTGCCCCAGACTGCTCAAGCAGAAGCTGGTCTTTGAACCAGATACTCCGGTGATGACAACAAGGTTTAAAGTTTGAGAATCGCTGGTCTAGAGCCTCTTTGGGGCCCAAAGCGGGCGCTTGTGGGCTGTGCTGGGGTTGGAAGGGGTGGGGAGTGTGGGGGTGAGCTGGGTGGGGCTAACGAGGGTGGAGATCTACCGCCTGCTGCCCTTCCCTGCCTTCCTGTCCCTCCCCCAAGGGGCCTCGGAGCTGGGTTAGGGCCCAGGAGACACTACTCAGGTTTCTTGCAATGGGACCAGCTGCCCCTTGGGGTCTGACAAGCCCAGAAGGTTCGCAGCCCGGAGCCTGAAGGACAAACCTCCTTGGAGACAACCTGAGGCGCAGAGAGGAAAGGGAGGACTTCTCAGGTGCTGATCCTTTTCCCAGGACTGTCTACCCTCCAGCCAGGTGGGAACACGTGGTCCCATAAATGTGGCGATCAGTTCCCTGGAGACCCTGGCAGAGCCCTACCTGTAAGAATATTGAGTCATTTTTCATTGAACTTGAGTCTCTCTCTCTCTGTACCTGCTTTGCTTGTGCCCAAGCATAAGCTTTACTGCCTATTGGGTGTTGCGTACTGGCCCCAGCCTGGGTGACCCTATTCTCTGCCCTGGGTCTAGTCCAAAACTAGAAGTTAAGTTTTGGTCCCAAGCTTTCCTTGTTCCTCCTTCACACCCAGTTCAGAAAAACCTCACCAAGCTCCGACCCAGAAACCCTGGTGTCTTCCCTGGCTCCAAATGAGAAACTGAGGCTTGCCTCCATCGGCGGAAGCACAGGGCTGGCTGACAGAGGTGATGGGCCCATCAGCCTGAGCCTGGTTTGAGCTGGTGACAGGTGGACATGCGTCCTGGCTTTAGATCCTGGCTCTACCGTCAATATGATGTGGGACCCTTAGAAAGCCCTGGCCACTCTCTGGCCCTCGGTTTCCCCTCGATAAGGAGAAGCAGGGGAATGTGCAGAATGATTTCCGACAGTGTGAGAGTCTGTGTACCTGTGCCAACCTCTCCATCTGCAAAATGGGCCTGCGGTGAATTCCATCCACACGGTGGTGGGAGGGAGGAGGCTGGGGAGGAAGGAGCCCTGTGCTGGCCTGACCTTCCACAGGCTGGAAGAGGAGACCACCATGAGCGTGGGTCCCCGTGCCTCCTGGCCCTGCTGAGAGCTTTCCCAGCTGTCCCTGTCTGTCCTGAGCACAGCCTGGGCTGGACCTCCCTCCCAAACTGTGAAGGCAAGCACAGACTCTCCGGGTGAGCAGGGGCCTTGGATGCCATCTGGGCGGAAGCACCGAGTGTACGAATGGAGGCTGGGGTCTGGAGAAGGGAAGGGTCTGGACTGATGTCCCACAGAGCAACTTAGAGAGCACCCTGGTCCCTAGGCCCCTGGTCCCACACTACCCTGTGCTTCTGGTGCCTTCTTAATGATTCCAGAGCCCTTTGGCATAAAAACATTCTGTCGCCTCAGAGCAGTCTGGCCTGCCTGCCTTGCCCTAGCAATGCCAGGGCCCCGCCTCTATGAGGCAGGATTTGTAAATCGATTTTGTTGAAAGTTCATGCCTGTTTCATGTCCATGCCCCGTTTCTCCTCCAGCTGCCAACCCCTGAGCTCCCAAGCCCATCCCACTGGCTCTCAGGCCCCTGGGAGAGAGGGGGACTCTGAGGACGGGAGATACAGAAATGAGCTCAGACGAGAGGAGGTCAGGTCACTGCAACCGTGACTCCACCTGCGTGGCAGTAGACAGAGTGCTTTCACATCCTGCTGAGCTCACAAGAGCCCTGGAAGCTAGGCAGAGCTGCAGCATCCTCCCCACTTTACAGCTGAGGAAACCAAGGTCACAGAGCCAGTTGGTGGCAAAGGCATTGAGCCAGTTGGTGGCAGAGCTGTGCGATGGAGCCTGGTTTTCTGTACGCCGCATCCAGTGCTCATCGCCTGGTGCTGAGTGCAGAGCGCTCAGGTGCTACGTAAATATCTGAGTGCGTGAACGTGGGCCAAATAAGAGCCAGGCGAGGGCTTAGCCCAGGGTGCAACAGGAGTAGCTTATCCAGCCTTGGGCGATATAGGACGGCTTTTTGGATTGGGTGGGGGGACTTGACTGAGTGCTGAAGGTTTGGTAGGAGTTACCCAGTTGAGACGAACAGAGCAGTCTGAGCAAAAGCTGAGCCAGAGAAAGCTCATGTGATGGGGCTTGTTGTGGAGAGGGGAGGTGGCAGGCAGCAAGGAAGGAGGCCAAAGCTTTCAGTGGGGCCCACCCTGGCTTGACCACTGGGCTTGACCATTGGGCTTCTCAAAGTCTCTCCAGGGTCAAGGATCTGAGAGTTTGCTGAGTTCTGTTATAGTGCCTGGTGGTCTTAGCTGACCAGCTGTTCTGGACTCCATTGAGAGGCTAAGTCATGGAGTCTCCCATCCACCCTGGCTGGCATGATGTCTGAACACCCAAGTCCCCAAGACGTCTGCTCTGGCCACAGCCCCACAGCCCTGAGAGGGTGCCAGGACCTGGTTCAGCACTGCTCCCAGAGCTGGGCCTCAGGGAGCAGGTTCGCAGAGGCTCAGTCATTCAGTAACTCTTTGTGATCATGTTTAGGTAACAGGCCAAGTGAGACCGAGGGAGAGAGGCAGAAGTGAGTTACATGGGAGAGCCTGCATGGGCATCTATATATATAATAGCCTAATATGCAAAGTGTTCCCACCGGGAGTTAGATTGCTTGCTATGACGTGTGCTGACCACGTTAGGGGGTGGAGGGGAAGCAGCACAAAATGAAGACAGACACTAGGGACCCTACCCCATTCATGAATTTCATGCACTGGGACTCTAGTAAACAATAACGAAACTCAACCAGAGACACTAGAGGCGGGGTTTTAGAACTAGATTCATGCATCCAGCTATTAACTTGCTGTATGCGGCCCTGGGCTATGTGCTGCTTCAGTCCTGGCTCCATCCCAGACCCATTAAATGGTTATGGAAGGGTCTTGGGTTCTCTGTGCCTCAGTTTCCTCATCTGTAAGATAGGTGTGATATTAGCTCCTGCGTCATAGGGTTGTCATAGGGTCATAGGGTTCTACAGATTAGATGAAAGAATGTGTATAATAGAATCTCTGATGCACTGACTGGCAAGTGATATGCCCTTGATAAGAGGCAAATGTGGGTAAGTTCATAAGGGAAACATAGTTATACTTTAAGCACATCACTGCCTAGCTTACACCCAAGGAAAGCAAGCGGGATGTGGGAGCCAGGCGGACATTAACGTCCTTGGGTGGCTGGTGGGGTTGGGAGCATGGAGCCTGGAGGCTGGCCTTGGCCTTGGAACCTCTGAAATAGAGGCAAGGAGCGTGAGGAGCAGCTTTGTTCTCTGTTGTTCCAGAAGGTAGAACTGTGGCCAGTGAGGGGAAGCTAACAGAAGCCACATTCTGCTTCTCAGGAGGAGGAAGGGTGGTGAGTTCCCCATCTCGAGGGGAGTTCAAGTAGAGGTCAGATGATATTTTGGCAGGGATAGAAGAGGGGATACAAACCTAGGACCAGCAAATAGTTAGGATTCCACTGAAGAAATCTAATTATTCTGTTTATTACAGAGTTTGAGAAAGAATTTCAAAATTTGGAAAAGTATAAAGAAATGTAAAAGTCATTTCTAATCCCGTCATTAAGAGCTAGCCTCTGTGTACATTTCAGTGTCATTCTCTCTATTTTTCCTGCTATATACTATACATGATTGTGACTATTTTAAATGGTTGTATTCTAGTTACTTAACATTTTGTTGGGGCATTCTCCCATGTTAAATAGTTCATGGAGACATGATTTTTTTTTTCAATCCCCACCCAAGGATATGTTTGTATTAATTAGAGAGAGAAGAGAGGGATGAGAAACGTCTATCAGCTGCCTCCTATATGCACCCCAATCAGGGATCAAACCCACAATCTGGGTGTGTTCCCTAATTAGGAATCATTCCCACAATCTTTTGCTGCACTGGACAATGCCCAACCAACTGAGCCACCCTGGCCAGGGCTGGAAACATGATTTCCTAAAAATATATATATTTTATTGATTTTTTTTTTTTACAGAGAGGGATCAGGAGTTAGAAACATCGATGAGAGAGAAACATCAATCAGTTGCCTCCTGCACACCCCTACTGGGGATGTGCCCGCAACCAAGATACATGCCCTTGACCGGAATCGAACCTGGGACCCCTCAGTCCACAGGCGGATGCTCTACCCACTGAGCTAAACTGGTTTTGGCAAGGAGACATGATTTTTAATGGCCACCTAATAATCTGTGGATGTCCTGTGATGTTTTTAACCAGTGGGTACCTGGGTGTTCACATTACTCATGAGCATCCTTGCATTTCATCCTAATCCCAGGCTACTGTGGCTCTGTGTTCAGCGAGGAGTAGAGGGGACAGAGGAAGGCTCCTGAGGGCAGTGGCATCTTGGCTGGGTTTTGAGGTGGGTGGACTAGCCTGTGTGCTAGGTTGGGTGAGGTA